CCCCGCCCCGCCCTGTCCCGTCCCGGGCGGTTTTACGAGGAACAATTAAAACCGTTTCCATCGCATTCGCGATATTGAAACTGTATATACGGATCGGGGAAACAAACGAAATGCCCCCATCGTGACGCTTTGACGCATGCACCCGAAAGTGACGGGGGAGTTGGAGATAAAGGGTCAGAGGAGGAAAGAGGGCAGGCGGAGGAGGGGGGGGGGGGATATGGGAAACAGCAATGTGAAAGGGTAGTTTTGGCAGGCCGACATTATTTCCCCATCCCCAACCCCGCTTCCAAACCGCGATACACAGTGTTGATTTAGTCGCTCTGTTTTAAAGCACGCTTAAAAATAATGACGGCTAGTGACGCTATGGTGGCAGAATCAGAATCTTTGTTTTGACAGGGTGAGCCGGTGCAGCGGCAGTGCTGGCGCGTGGACAGCGGTGCTGTCTGAGCCCCTGAGCGCCTCCAATAAAACTGTTCGCCGCCTCCGTGTCCTCGTCGTCGCCGTGCTGCTGGCTGAGGTGCGCCGTCCTTGTCTTGTCTCCGTCCACCCGCCCCGCCCAGCCTGGCTCTAACGGAATCCACCGCGAGTCAAAAAGCCGAGAGAGACAAGCTCGAGAAAACGGAGTCCCTCAGTCCCTCCTCCCCGGAGTCCGCGCGGCGGCGGGTAGAGGGGGTGGGCTGGGCAGGGCAGCTGTCAACACTGACGAGCGACGGGTCGGGTTCGGATCGGCGCGGCAAAAGCAAGAGTCACCTCCGTGTCACCATCCGCAAGCCATGCAGCTCATCCTTGCCGCTTTCCGACTGGAGCATGGCGGCGGACTCGGATAAAATTCCTATCCTCAATTTAGGTCAAAATTTTAGCCAAAGCCTTCCACTATAGCGTGAGCTGCTAAAACTAACGCACACCAGGCAGAGAACACAAGTAAGGTAACGATTCGCTTAAGGCGTTCACACCGCCCGAGTTGCAAGCGAAATCCGCTAATCGTTTCTGTCACTGACGAGTCTGGTTTCCTCACTGGAAAAACTAATGTTACCGAGGTAACGTTTCTTGGCGCAATCAAACCAGGTAACGTTTGTGATGGCCCTATCCTTGTGCATGGGGTAGGTTGCATCAGGAAACGTTACCGGGCTTGGTCACATGATGAAACGTTACCTCGGTAACATTAGTTTTTCCAGTGCTGTTTGACCGAAAAGGATTGGCTACTGCAGCTTGGTTTGGTGCCTTTAGAAAGCGTATTTTTTTGTAGTTCCACGAATAATTTTGTAGATAATGGACGGGTCCAGTTCGCCAAGTAAACAAGCTGTCCGTCGTTGAAGTTGAAGTACCGCGCCGCAGTGCCGACCGACAGCCACTCACCTTGCGCTCGCGCGGCGACAGTAACCGTCACTGCCGCTTCTATCCTGGTTCGGTTATGAATAGTGCGAAGTGTAAAGCAGGAAGTAGGTCAGTCACCAGCGTCCATTGCGCTCGTGATTTTGGTCTCACAAAAATAAGAATATAGTGGTTTTTTTTTTAAAAAATAAAATGACATTTTTAAACGAAGTATGTCAGTGCAGTTTTCTTGTCCTCAGCTATACCAGGTGGCTGATTCACGCCGCGCACTTCTGTAGGTATACTGAACCGCATGCACGAGTGCTGGCGGGCTTGCCTATTCCCCCCGTCCACGGCGCCTTGCGAGCCGAGCGAGTAGTCAACCCGCCCGCACTCGTGCATGCGGTACAGCATAACTACAGAAGTGCGCGGCGTGAATCAGCCACCTGGTACAATGCGGAGGTGACACACAAATCCCCCCATCGCGCGGTCCGCGGATCTTGTCGCGGGGGATGCTCGCTGTCCGCGGAGTTTGCTGAACTATCGCGGAACTATACTCTCTCAACTCAAATGTGTACATAGTACACATTAAAGAAAGTGTACATGGCATGTACACTTTCTTTAATGTGTACTATGTACACATTTGAGTTGACAGAGTATCGCGCGTGACCGTGATCAGTAGGTCTGGCTGTCATTGGACGCCAAGCAGCGACTCACGCTTTAGCGTTTCATGCTGCTTTCTTCTCTACACCCCAATTAAAGAAATGTGTTCTTGATTTTCCAGTGCCCTTTTCTTGTGCTATCCCCTTTGTAAAACACAAACAAACTGGAATGTCAATCAGCAAATCTTTATCAAAACTGGAGCGGGGACCAGCAATCTTGATCAAATTGGGAGGTAACTGTTGCCTTCGCGTTGAGACAGTCACTACTGGGGACTGTCTAAGAAGCGCAATGCTGACGAAAATCAAGTTAACGAAAAGTGTACAAATATTTGAGCAGAACACACAGTTTATTTTTCTGGGGTTTACCACCTGTGCGTCGTCGAGAGATTCCTAACGGAAACCGATTTCGCGTGGCAAATGCGAATAAGGTGGGGTAAAACTGTAGAGAGGAAATTTGACACCCCAAAATCCGAAGTAGCGGGTCGGGAAAATGGCATGTCGGCGACTGGCGCATTTGCGAGTAGAGCTTTCTCAACGGAAATATAAGCCCTTTAGCCGCCGCGGCCGCGCTCTGGAGCGAGCTCTGGAGTACTTACTGGAGGTCGTCATCTTCTCAGACTGCTGCTGCTGCGGCTGCGGCTGGAGGTGCACGCCGGGGTGCAGCCTCAGGTCCATGAGGTGGGGCGGGGGCGCGGTCTGGATCTGCTGCATCTCGTCGCTGGGGGGTTGGTGGTGGTGAAGGTGGTGAAGTAGTCCAAGAGGTGGCTGGTTAATCCACACGGGGGGTCGTTTCACTGCTCACTGTCGCTCAGGAGTCCATCACTGATCACGCACACTATATAAAATCACTACCACGCACTATAAACAAAACGCACACACGCAACGCTCTCGGCTCGCACCACCGTGAGGGTCTCTGATGACCGCGAGCACGTCCGGGCTCGACGGCGACCTGGGTGCGAATGCGGCTGCGGCGGCCGGCGTGCAGAGGGCAGCTCCCTGCTCGTCCTGCTGACGTCCTCCCTCCGGAGGGGGGGCTGGCCGCGCTGCAGGGCTGCCAGCCTCGGCTGGCCGCTGGACCGTCGCCGGCGGCGCTGCCATTGGCTGGCGGCGAGGGGACGCAGGCTCCACCCCCCTCTCCGCCACCGCCGCCCGGCTCGGCCCGGCCCGGCTCGGCTCCCCTAAGGGTGGCTCGGCTCGGCTCGGCAGACTGCACTTCTCACCCCCTGCAGCGGGGCGCGCCGCATTCGTTCCCGATGTCGCCGTCGCTGTCGCCGTCGTGTCCTCCCCACTGCTGGACAAGGCGAAGGAAAGAGGCATCATGTTGTTGATGCCGATCTGCTCGGGGAGATAACCGGGCCAGTGGTCTGATCATGTCAACGCACCCCCTGCCGCACCCGGTGCACCCCGAGAAGCGCAGCCTCAAGCATACGGCAGGCCAGTCGGGGAGCAAAAAGTCGGCCACAGGACTACACGTCCTACACGTTATGGTACCATAACGACGTCGTTATGTTCTCATCTCTTGTATCTTACTGATATTGTTACCCTCTGTTTGTGGCACCACGTATTTCAGTCCGAGTTTCAGTCCGTCTGTAGATCGATTCGCTTGGAAATCGTGTCGTCAGAGGAGCTCGTGTTCATGTCACTCACACACGCACGCGCGAGCAGCGTGACTATGAAATGCGACAACATGCTAAATCCGCCGCTTATCGAATACAGCTACAAAAATCATTTCTACACTTCTGTTTTTTCTTTTTGGACCAGTAATTCTTCTTTTAAATGGAAGGTTCAATTTGTCATCGATTGGGAAGTTTATTGCCATAATCGTAATTTTCCAAATTAGGAAGTACAGTACAGTACGGTGTAATGGATATTTTCTCTTCGGAGGGGAAAATTGCAGAAACAAGGCAATGTAGCCTTGTTCTAAAGATGATACAGTACCAAGATCTATTTAGTCTTGGGCCTTGCCAAAATGCACTTTGGACGCAGAGACCGGGTGGCTGATTTGCCCCGTGCACTTTTGTCGTTATACCAGGCGGCAAACTTTCGTAGTTATACAATACCGCATGCTCGCGTGCGAGTATGTTGCCTACTCGCACGGGGCCAAATGGAGCCGTATGCAGCGAGGATAGGCAGGCATACTCAGGGCATACCCGCCCGCACCCGGGCAATGCTGCACAGTAGCATTGTGTAGTCCACGTCCACATACCCCGCCATTAGGCGCCGCGGTCTAGCGAGGGTAGGCCAGCCCGCCCGCACTCCTGCATGCGGTACAGTATTAGCAAAATAAAGGAAGGGGTCTGTGGACCATACCCTGTATAACTATGAAAGTGCGCTGCGTAAGTCCATCCATCTGATATACCTGTTGAGTGTGTTTATAGATCACAGGGAGAGAGTACCATGTTCTCAATCACATTTTGATGCCGCAAGAATGTCCACAAGTTTTGACGAAATTTGAACCATAATTCTCGTCAAAGAATAATTTTGATAAATGATTGCTCGCGCCGTCGGGGAACATGGAGGGAGGTCCATAGGATATGGCATGTCGGAGCCGTCAGCGATCATATGCCTCTGACCTCTGACGGCGCCCACGTCGGCACCCGTTGTGGCCTCGGGGGCGCGCGCGCGGCGGGGGTGCGCCTGCGGTCGTGTGGCTGGAGGGAGCGAGAGAGGCACCAGGAGGATAGACGACAGGAGGACCCTCTCGACCAGCACCAGCGCCGGCCTGCGCCAGCCGGCCGCAGGGGATTTGTCTTTTGCCATTATTAGTCGAGTCGCACAGCCAGCCGACCGCGCCCCGCGCCGCCGCCGACTCCATCCCCGAGCCGAGAGCGGCAGATAGTGCATCAGCTCATTGTTTGTGTGGTTGACAGCGAGCCATGGAGGGGTGAGGGGCGGGTGGCGGGTGGCGGGGGGTGGCGCGGCGGCGGCGGTGGAGGCAGGCGCAGTCGCGCCGGGCGGAGCGCATATAGAGGGGGGGTTGTTGCGGGCAGCCGATGTGCAGCTCTGCTGGCTGCTCTCCGCCCCTAATCCCGCCTTTGTCCCCGTTGTCACATGCAGATGAGGTGAGGCTGCCCCCCCCCCCCCTCACTGGCCGTCTGCTCTTCAAATGGGCCGCACTTTTCACTAATTTCGCCGCCCTCGTTCTCTCTCGCTCTCTCTCCCTCTTGTCCTTTGTGTCGCCTGACCTGACCGCGCTTGCCTTTTTTCCTCACAGCCCGTCTTTCTCTCTCCCTCTCTCTGTCTCTCTCGCTCTCTCTCTCTCTCTCCACGCATGGCGCTCGGCTCTCGCCTTGCGCCCAGTGTGTAAGTACACCAAAAGGGCTTAGCGCGCCCGGCTCGCTTTGTCCTGCTTGAAGGCGAACAGCTCCGACAGCAAACGAGCCCCAGATTCGCATAAACTACTTGCCCGGCCCATCATTATGAATGGCCGGCTCTTTCTGTTCCGAGGATTCGCCCGGAGCACCCAAAAGCGCCCCCAGCGATATTCATAATAGTACGGCATTGGGGGAATTAGAGGTGCCGTTTTTCTTGTAAAGCTGTTTTTGTCGAGCGTTTTCGCACTCGGCGCGTTACAAGAAGCGGCGGGAGGATTTAAATGGACGTCAAAATGACGCGGGGTCGTTCACTGCCGCCTGTCTACCCTAGTTGTACCCAGCAGCACCACCCTCCGTACGCTCCACAATTGGTGGGTACATCGTCCTGTAACCTTTCTCCTCCAACGTCAGACGAGCCGCCGGAGCCTAGCGGATACCAAGCTGAGTGATTTTTAAGTCGGAAATTTTCCAGAAAATTTGAAAA